TACCGCGCCACGGTTGAAGCGGAAGGGGGAGGAGGGGGGGCGGAGGAGGAGAGGACGAGGGCGGAGACCTGCAGACTTAGCTACAGTGGCCGCTGGCGGCGTGGCTGCTGTGTTCGCGCGCCCGCGTGCGCACGCGCAACGACAGACGCAGCGGGGTGGCCGCGGACCAGCTCCAGAGCGATCTGCCGGAGGGTCGCCGCGGTGGGTAGTCCAGGCCCTGCGGCGTCTCGCCCGGCAGTGCGCCAAATACACCGCCGCGGTGCGAATGGCCGAACGCAGGACAAAGTCCGCGGGCAGGCTCGTTGGGGGGGAGGAGAGGAGAAGGAAATCCGAGAGGGGCGCCGTGGAACGAGGGATCGCTAGGCTCCGCCACGCGAGCTCACGGACCACCCGGCAACCTGCATAGTGTTCAATGGAATTCTCGCAGGCACACCCAAGAAGACAACGAGAGCCGCGCTGCTGGAAGCGACGGCCCGCGCACCATCCATTGAACCATGTGCGTAAGAGAGCGGCTCTGACCCGCGGCGGGGCAGCCGTCTGGAGGGCGCCCGTGACCTGCCGCGCGCGCGGGGCGCGCCTGGCCGGCGGCAGAAGGCGCCAACGCTGCATCCGGCGCCGCCAGAAGCGCTCCGCCTCCTCCACTGACGCCTCCTGCGCGATGGACAGGCACGTCCGTTGTCACAACTTGCGGCGCTTCTTGGCGCGGGCGTCGTCGTCGAGTTCCGTGTCGGCGGCCCCCTCAATGCGCTCCCGCACCCGGCGCGCAGTCCAGCCCAACTCCTCGAAGTGCGAGGTGGCGGCGTCCAAGTGCAGGATGACGGCGCTCTTGAGCCAGCCGTCCCAGCCGCCCAGCGGAGCTCGAAGTCGCAATCTGCAGTGGCCCTTCAAAGCTCCTGGGCCCGGCGCGTCGTCTGCAGGCCGCCCTCGTTCGTGGCTTCGTACCGGGCCACGCGGAAGCGGGCCGCCAGCGAGAGCTTCGCAAGCTCGGGAACGCTGCCGGAGAAGCCCATCGAACTCGGATCCCGCAGAATGGACGGGGAGATCCACCCCCGCGGGCGCGGGAACAAACGGGCCACCGCCTGGGTTGCCTATCTGTTGCAGTAGCCCTGCTGCTCCTCCTCCCCCTCCTCATGTCCCTGCTGCCTCTTATCCACCTCCCCCACCTCCGTCCGCCTCCTCCTCGCCCATTTCCATAAAAGGCACCCCTTCCAGAGGGCACAGCAAACGATTGGTCAAATCCTACAATTGCCGCATGGGGATCAAAGTCCTCCAAGGCACACCAGTCGACGGAAAAACAAGGATTCGACGCGATGAGAACAAAAATATTAGAGAGGTAGGATGTCAGACGTGGCGCGAGGGCACTTGGTTTGCTCTCTCCTTTCTCCTCCCACCTTTCCATCTCTCAACGATTACTCGATCATTTTCTTACCCTCCTCTCCCCGGATCCTGTCCGATTGGGGCCCGGTTTTCCCTATGCTGTTACTAACGTGTGAGTGATCCGCCAACGTGCCTGCAAAATGTGAGCGTGTTGGAACTGCTCTGTGGGGCTTTTGCATTTTAGCACGGGACCCCCCTCCACTCGAAGACGACCGCATGCATACAATGCTCCCGAGGCCACGATCCCTCGTAACACAAACACGCGTCCGCGCCCCGAGCTTCCAAGACGGCCAAAACAGGCAGCCAACGCAACCAAGATGGCCCAAGATACCTCGGAGTTGGGCAAAGGTGGTCAGGGGTCAACACATCGATCCCTGGCTCTCCTGGGATGTGTTGAACGGAAGTTCGAGGCGGATCCAGCCGTGGCCATGAGGGCGCGCGAGGACGATCAAATAACTCCAAAGGAGAACCTCAAACCTCGAAGCTCGGGCGGTTGCTCAGGCCTCAACCGGCCGTTCGGGATGAGTCAAGCATCCCCAGATCCCCAGAACAACTGTGACGAGACGAAGCTGATGCGAACCATCACGGGTCCCGAAAACCTCCGAAACCCGTTGAAAACCTGAGGATAACCACCAAAAACACTCGGAGATCGCACCCTGCCTGGCGTCGACGGCGCCGCCGGGGGCCAGCGGCGCCACCAGGGGATGCGGTTGCCTCGCCGTCGTGCCTCGCCGTCGCCGTCGCCGTCGCCGCCGCCATCGCCGTCGTCGTCGCCGTCGTCGTCGTCGCCGTCGTTGTCGTCGTCGTCGTCGTCGTCGTTGTCGTCGCCGTCAGGTCGCCGCCGCCGCCGCCGTCCTCGTCGTCGTGGTCGTCGTCGTGCTCGTCGTCGTCGTCGTCGTCGTCGGTGTCGTCGTCGTGTCCCTCGTCGTCGTCGTCGCCGTTGTCGTCGAAGTCGTCGTCGTCGTCCTCGCCGTCGTCGTCGTCGTCGTCATCGTCGTCGTGCTAGTCGTCGTCGTCGTCGTCGTCGTCGTCGTCGTCGTCGTAGTCGTCGTCATCGTCGTCGTCTTCCACGTCGTCGTACGGGTCGTCGACGTCGCCCTCCTCCTCCTCCTCCTCGCCATCGCCGTCGCCGTCGCCGTCGCCGTCGTCGTCCCGGTCGTCGTCGTCGTCGTCGACGTCGTCGCCGTCGTCCACGTGTCGTCGTAGGGGTCGTCGTCGTCGTCGTCGTCGGCGTCGTCGTCGTAGTCGACGTCGACGTCGTGGACGTGTCCCTCGTCGTCGTACGGGTCGTCGTCGTCGTCTTCCTCATCGTCGTCATCGTCATCGTCGCCCTCTTTCTCGCCGTCGCCGTCACCGTCACCGTCGCCATTGCCGTCGCCGACGCCGCCGCGGTCGTCGTTGTCGTCGTCGTCGTCGCCGTCGTCGTCGTTGTCGCCGTCAGGAGGTCGCCGCCACCGCCGCAGCCGCCGCCACCGCCGTCGTCGTCATCGTACGCGTCGTCGTCGTCGTCGTCGCCGTCCTCATCGTCGTAGTCGTCTTCGCCGTCGTCGTCGTCGTCATCGTCGTGCTCGTCGTCGTCGTCTTTGTCGTCGTCATCGTCGTCGTCTTCCCGGTCGTCGTCGTCGTAGTCGTCGTCGTCATCGTCGTCGTCGTCGTCTTCGCCGTCACCGTCACCGTCACCGTCGTCATCGCCGTCGCCGTCGCCGTCGCCGCCGCGGTCGTCGTCGTAGGCGTCGCCATCGTCGTCGTCGCCGTCGTCATCGTACGCGTCGTCGTCGCCATCAGGTCGCGGCCGCCGCCGCCGTCGTCGTCGCCGTCGTCGCACGGATCGTCGTCGTCGTCATCATCGTCGTCGTGTCCCTCGTCGTCGTACGGGTCGTCGTCGTCGTCGTCGTCTTCGCCGTCGTCGTCGTCGTCGTTGCCGTCGTAGTCGTCGACATCGTCGTCGTCGTCTTCGCCGTCGTCGTCGTCATCGTCGTCGGTCTCGTCGTCGTCGTAGTCGTCGTCGCCATCGTTGCCGTCGCCCTCTTCCTCGCCGTCCCCATCGTCATCGCCGTCGACGTCGCCACCGTCACCGTCGCCATCGCCGTCGCCGTCGACGTCGCCATCTCGTCGTCGTCGTCGTCTCCCTCGTCGTCGTACGGGTCGCCGTCGTCGTCGCCGTCCTCGCCGTCACCGTCGCCGTCACCGTCACCGCAGCCATCGCCCACGCCGCCGCCGCCGCCGCCGCCGCCGCCGTCGCCGCCGCCGTCGTCGTCGCCGTCAATGGCCACCGCCGCCGCCGCCGCCGCCGCCGTCGTCGTCGTCGTCGTCGTCGTCGTCGTCGTCGTCGTCGTACGGGTCTTCGTCATCGTCGTAGTCGTTGTCGTCGTCTTCGCCATCGCCGTCGTCGTCGTCGTAGTCGTCGTCGTCGTCGTCGCCGTCGTCGTCGTCGTCGTGGTCGTCGTCGTCGTCGTCATCGTCGTCTTCCTCAACGTCGTACGGGTCGTCGTCGTCGTCGTCGTTGTCCTCTTCCTCGTCGCCGCCAGATCGCCGTCGTCGCCGCCGACGCCGCCGCCGCCGTCGTCGTCGTCGTCGCCGTCGGCGTCGTCGTCGTGTTCCCCGTCGTCGTACGGGTCGTCGTCGTCCTTGTCGTCGTCGGCGTCGTATTGTTGTCATCGTCAGGCTCGTCGTCGTCGTCGTCGTCGTAGTAGTCGTCGTCGTCATCGTCGTCGTTTTCCTCGTCGTCGTACGGGTCGTCGTCGTCACTGTCGTCGTCTTCGTCGTCCTCTTCTTCGCCGTCGCCGTCGCCGTCACCGTCACCGTCACCATCGCCGACGCCGTCGCCATCGCCGCCGCCACCGCGATCGTCGTCGTCGGCGTCGTCGGCGTCATCGTCGTGTTCCTCGTCGTCGTACGGGTCGTCGTCGTCGTTGTCGTCGTCTTCGCCGTCGTCGCCGTCGTTGTCGTCGTCGTCGTCGTCATCGTCGTCGTGCTCGTCGTCGTCGTAATCGTCGTCATCGTCGTCGTACGGGTCGTCGTCGTCATCGTCGTCGTCGTCGTTGTCCTCGTCGTCCTCGACGTCGCCGCCACCGTCACCGTCACTGTCGCCATCGCCATCGCCGTCGCCGACGCCGTCGCCGTCGCCGCCACGGTCTTTCGTCGTCGTCGTGTTCCTCGCCGTGGCCGTCGCCGTCGTCGTCGCCGTTGTCGTCGTCGGCGTCGTCGTTCTCGCCGTCAAGTCGCCGCCGCCGCCACCGCCGCCGCCGTCGTCGTCGTCTTGTTCCTCGTCGTCGTGCGGGTCGTCGTCGTCGTCGCCGTCGTCGAACTCGTCGCACTCGTCGTCGTCGTCGTCCTCGTCGTCGTACGGATCGTCATCGTCGTCGTCGTCGTCCTCTTCTCGCCACCCCCGTCGCTGTCACCGTCACCGTCGCCATTGCCGTCGCCGTCGCCGTGTCGCCGTCGCCGCCGCGGTCGTCGTCGTCGTCCGTCGTCGTCGTCGTCGTCGCCGTCGTCGTCGTCATCGTCGTCATCATCGTCGTGGTCGTGCATTACGTCGTCGTCATCGTCGTCGAAGTGGTGGTCGTCGTCGTCATCGTCTACACCGTCGTTGTCGCCGACGACGCCACCACCCCTGGCGCCGCCTGGCATTCTTTCTTCTTGCCACCTCGTCGCAGCGCTTCCAGGGCCTGCCCGGAGGCCGCCGGCCCGCGCCGAGCAGAGCGGCCGCGAAGACCTCGTTCCTCCTCTTCCTCATCCTCCTCCTCCTCCTCCTTTTCCTCCCCTCCTCCTCCTCCTCCTCCTCCTCCTCCTCCTCCTCCTCCTCCTCTTGTTCCTCCTCTTCCTCGGTATATTTTTCCTGTTCCTCCTCCTCCTCCTCGTCCTTCTCCTCTTCCTCTTCCTCCTCCTCCTCCTCCTCCTCTTTCTCATCCTCCTCATCATCATCAGCATCACCATCATAATCGTCACCGTCGTCATCGTCATCATCATGTTCACCATCATCACCAGTCTCATCATCATCCTTATCCTCATCATCCTCTTCAATATCATTATCATCATCCTCCTCATCATCATGTCATTATTGCTCTTTCTGATCATCTTATTCCTCATGTTATGATTATTCCTCCTGTTCCTCCCGTTCCAAATGTTCCTCCTGTTCTTCCTGTTCTTCTTGTTCCTCCTGTTCCTCCTGTTCCTATGGTTCCTCCTGTTCCTCCTGTTCCTCCTGTTCCTCCTGTTTCTCCTCTTCTTCCTGTTCCTCCTCCTCTCCTGCCCCCCCTTCTGGCGCGGATGAGCGCAATTTGTGACTGCGCGCCCGCGCGGACACTGAACTCCGCCAGAGCACCGCGACGAAACTTTCGGCCAAGGACAACACGCCCCACCCACGCCAGCCTGGCGGCCCAGCTAGCCGGCCACCTCGTCGGCCAGGCGGGCCGCGGCCGCATCGGCGGGATCGCGCCCGAAGGAAGACCGCAGCTGCCTTGCCGTGGTCCGGTGCAGCGCGACGCTGAGTTCAGCGACCCAGCGCCGCGCCAGCGCGCTCGCGGCCGCCTCGGCGACGGGGCCATCGCCCAGGCCGTGCGCGCGGCCACGCGCCAGCCAACACAGCTGCCGCAACGCGGGCTGTCCAGGCGGCCCGCTGTCTCGTGGGCCCAGCGGGAGCAGTGGCCAAGGGGCGCGCCGCTCGGGGTAGCGCAGGCGCCCCCTTGGCCGCCACCGCGCCGTCGCCGCCCAGGGCAGCGGCGAGAGCGCGCGCGCGCCCTGGAACGCTGCAGCGGACAGTCACGTCCGCCAGCATGCAGGGGCAGTCGCCGCGCTGCACCTTCAGGTCGAGCAGCGCCTCCTCGCGCTCGGCCCCGAGCGGCGCGCCGCGGGCGCTGCGTGGGCCCCCAGGCGGGGCCCTCGCGAAACTGCACGCGGCGCAGCCGGTAACAGTGCAGCGCTAGCGCCACCGATCCCGGACTCGGACTGGCGCTCGCCGGGCTGGGCTGGGCGGAAACTGCAGCGCTGGTGGATGCGGCCCCACGCGTCTGCGACGTCCCGGTTTTGGTGCCGCACCCGACGGCGTAGCGGAAGGCGCGCCGCACCTTGCGGCACAGCGGCAGGCCGCAAGCCAGCCTCGCCAGCGCGCGCGCGGTTGCAGCAGCGGCTGCCGGCGGGCGCGCAGTCCTGGCCCAGCAGAACCCAGGCGGTGCTGCGATCGGTCCTCCAGCCGCTGGCGCGGCCCGCCGCACGCCAGCTGCCTGGCGCCCGCGCGAAGCCCCCCGCAGGAGCGGAGCCGAGCCCGTTCCTCCGCGCTCAGGGAGCTCAGCAAGGCTGCGAAGCTTTTTGAGCCCAACCTGCGCGTGAGTCTCCTCTGGAGCTTTTCAGGAAGTTTTTGGGCGAGCTGCCGCCAGTCGAGCAGCGGTCTCTCCTCCTAGCCTGGCAGCATCGCGGCCCCGTCTGCCGGGCCCGGCAGCAGCCCAGCGCCCCCGGCCAAGCCGCAGCGAGAGGCAAAGCGGAAGTCTCCAAATCTTCTATTTCCGCCAGCCCCGTGCGCTCCTGGACGCCCGCGAGGCTCTGCGACCAGGAGGCAGCCCAGGTCGCAGGCGCGAGCTCCCCATGGCTCCGGAAACCTCGGCCGCCCAGCCGCAGCGGCAGGCGGCAACGTGCGCGCTGCGCGGGCGCCAGCAAGTTCAGCCGCGTCAGCTCCCGGTAGGCCCCGGCAGCGCATCGTCCTATAGGCGGCCGCCGCTGCGCCCTGGGTTTGCGCCGGCGGGCTGGAGCGGAGCAAGTGTGTCAGCTTGCCTGCGCCGCAGCGCCGGAGATGCCTGCTGCGTGGGTCCGTGGGAGGCGCGGCGACGCCAGCGCGGGGGAGCGGGGGCGCATCTGCAGCAGCGCAACTGCTAGATGTCGGCGGTCTCGGAGCAGCGCGCCACGGCATAGGCGGCGCTGCTCAGGTCCAGCCAGCGAACGTCGTTCTCGTCTGGGAGGTTGCCCAGCGGCAGCGGCTCCCCGAGAGGGGCGCCCAGCCACGTCGCGCCGTCGGCGCGCCAGCGCTCTTCAGTCCTGGCGGGCCAGGCGAGCGGGTGGACCAAGCCTGCGTCTTGCACCGGTGCACTTCGAGGCCCAGGCGCCCCAGTGTCGTCCACGCAATCGCCTCCA